TATTATGCAATTATATTAGGGCTGGATAGGAATACCTGCCACGGAAATCGTGATCCCAACACTCGATGACGAATTGCCTGAAAGTGACAAATTGACAAATACGAGCTCATGAATTTCCTCGAATTTTAAGCTTCTTCTTCATTTTCCCACCTAATTCACCTTATAGCGTTTTTCTATAATATTTTAAGGGCGAGTCCCTATAGGTGATAACCTTTCTTGGAAACTCTTGTGAGAGTAAAATCACAGGAACAGCTCCTATGCCGTGGGGAATAAAAGCATACAATTTCTGGTGATCACCTTTCAGCAGTAAAACTCACAAAAAGAGAGGGTCCCCATTTATCAATGAACGTGAGCTTACAATTAGGTAGGAGACTTGTGGGCAGTGACTCGTATATTTTCCACAGGGCAACTCGTCCACTCCCGGATATGTGCACGATTATCGCTACCGCTTATCCTACGGTGGTGCTTAGGGCCTCACTTTTAAACAAACAAACGGAGCTGAGTGATATACCTTTGCCCGGCCAGGTGCTATTGCTCCCACTTCTTTTAGTTTAGAAAATGCAGTTTCAACGGAGCAATAAATCTAAGGCCCAAGTAGGCGGTGTTTTCCAGTAGTTCAACAAACGCACAACTGACCTCTTCTTATCCCCTCCGCACAGGGCCTGCATACCAACGTGAAACACTTTCCAAACTGGGTTCACTGTGCGTTTTATATACTCACTTTGATAAGCAAGTTGACGACTGAAAGATCCTCAATTATTAGTGAACAACGTCCGTTTTCATACGAACATCGCTGTGTTTATTTATTTATCTGCATATTGTTATTTGTTTACTATTCATTTATGCCAGGAGTCAAGCAAGCCTGTTCCTCCCTGAAGTTGGTATTATTGTGCCCCTTTGTCTGACAGAATAGGGGTCCTGACTTACTCTCGATCGGCCCTCTACTTGACATCGACTTCAACAGGTTCGCATGCAAGTGTTGTCATGAATTTGTTATGTAGTCAAGAGCATGGCTCATCCCGGAATCATCGTTTAACGTTAAACGCCTACACCTCTTATCATTGGAGAAACCTACCCATTATCGTCCAAAATCCTGTATATCTTCAGAAATGGATCTGATGACCAGATGAAGTGCTGTCGTTCGAGCTTCTGAGCTCTTATGTGGAACTCGGCATCTCCTTCGATATCCGTGTCCACTTCTTCTGCCGATACCGTAATCGTGCCGCAATATCCAGTGAGTCCACTAAACCCAACGACTATTAACACAGTTTTGCCAAATATCTTCATCTTCCAGTCGGACCTACCTCAGCTCCTTTTTGAGGGATCGCGTGCTAACAATCTCAGCTAAATAACATTCCATTGATCCAAGAAAATCGTGGTTGCTGAGTTTACTGGACGTGCT